AATTGCAGAATGTATTTACACTAACATACAAATGTTATTCATAACAGAACTTTTGATCAATATTATGCTTTTATCCGAAACTTTGCAAAATATTTTTAGAGAATACGCTTTTTTACATGGGCGTCTCAAATTTTTTTTATTTAAGATAATGGTGTATTCAAGAAAATATTAGCTTACAGTGGTCTCAATTTTTTATGTGGTGTTATAATTAATAAGTGTATTTTGTTTTTCGTTTTTATTATAAATAAAAAAGTTCTTGAAAAATAAAATTATCATATATTTTCTTGAAATTTTGTTTATGTTTAGTTCCCGGTAAAAAAAAATTCACAAATTAAAATGATAAGGTCTACATTACAGTAAACTGTTAAATGACAAAATTAAACACACATGATGGCTTATATTATGTTAACATAAAGCAAAGTTTGTTGAAGTGTTGTAATACAGTCATGCTGGCAACAATAATTCAACAGTTGTCCACATTTAAAAAGTGTCTGAGTCTATCAATTTTAAATATCATATAAATTTTTTTCAAAATATTATGAAAAGATGTAGAGTATTTCTATATCAGTTCCATAAGAATCTATGAAAATATAATCTCTGAAGCTCTGGCAAGTTAACCGAATATATTTCTTCAAAACAACTTTACAAGTTAATCGTAACACCCTTCTCTTAAGGCAAGTGAAAATAAAATAGAGGAGCTAGCATATATATGATTAGTTTCTGTTTTCTTATGCCTTTTGTTTCATCAAGTAATAAATCACAATTGTAACATAGGCAATACTGTTAAATATCTAAACATTTACATGGGCAGGCATTAAGATCAACCATTCGTTAAACAAATACTACATTACTTTGTATGTAACTCAAAGGTTCATTTACTTTTTGATTTGATTATGCATCGATCCTTCCCATATATATACACAATAATGACAATGCTAAGTCATCATGCTCCCTGCCGAAGTAACATTTTCCTGAGTCAAATATAAGGCTTTGTAAACCATGAAGGTATTATACCATCATCCAGAAACAATGATTAACTTTTTAGATTAGATAAAAACGGTTCCATGTAATGATTTGAAGCATGACGTGATGTATTTATTCTCCCAGTACGTTATCAGACTACACAACTCTTAATCCAAGACGTCACTGGTATAAATAATTTTGTCTAAAAATCAACGAATATATTATGCATGAATATCCATTTTCAAAGTCCTTGATATATATCTATGTTTTGAGCACCATGCTCTAGATAATTTTTAAACAAAACGTTTTAGCATTATTTTCATAATGCTAACAATTGACCGTTGTAATCAAAATCTACGAACAACGACGCTCATGACATTACAAGTCCTCCTGTCAAAAACAACTTTAAGCTCTAAAGTCATAGGGTATGATCATTATCATTTAATAAACAAATATTATAATATACATGTTATATGGTAGATGTTTCTAAATAACTGTATTTTACAAGCGTGTTCGTTATCAGAGATATACCTGTACGTTTTAATAAAGAAACCAATTATATTCGGTTGCTTAAAATTAGAGAACGAGATTTAATGGGCTTGATAGCATTTTTATACAGTTTACAGTTCCATACATGCAAAGATATATACATGAACCTATCTCTCTGCTTAGTAACACGAAAATTATACATGTATAAATGCAACGAATTCCAAAGTTTTATCAGTTAAAGCCTTCATCTATGATACAGTGTAATTTCTTGACCAATACTGTTTCAAAAGGTTCCCCTTTGTAATTATAAACACATTATAAACACATTGTAAGAAGGACGTACAAAGCCGACATTTACTTGCAGGAAATTAATCGGGTATTTGGCAGGTATGACAGTTAGCATTTATCAATTAACAGTAAGCATTAAGCAGTCGCCTGTAGGCATTAAGCAGTTGACAGTAAGCAGTTGATAGTGGGCAGTTGACAGTACGCAGTTGACAGTAGGCAGTTGACAGTAAGCAGTAGGCTGTCGTTTATGGAATTCCGTATTAAGGTATGTTAAAATAGAATGATGAGTTGATGACCTAAACATTCCGAAAATCTATTTATAGAGGGATGTACTGCTATCGGTAATTCCCGGTCTCTCCCGGTCTATTTTGACCGGGATTTACTAGTGACCGGCGAATAGTATCACACGTTTATTGTCCGGTCTCTTCCGGTTTTGGAGTAGATGTTTGATATCGTTACAGAACAGAACAGATATTTTACTGACAAATAAGCTTTTTTTCCAAAATGAATGTTTGTCACTTAGTTTGGTTACAATAATTAATAAACATTGATTAACTCTCTTGAAATTTATTGATTATTATTATACATAAACATACAATTCGTAAAAAGCCCAACAACAACAACAATAGCATGTTTCATTTTATCTATATGAGATAAAAACAATAAATATGTACAATAATTGAGAAAAAGATACATTGTTATGGTATAAATATGACACTATCAACTTTGAAACATTTTATTTAATTTGTTATTCGTGTTTAGTAAAGATGCCCAGGAATTATTCAAAGTTACAAATTAGATTTTATGAATTATTCAATTAATTGATAATTTAAAAAAATGATAAAGAAAAAAACAAATGTACATGTACATGGTTTAAGAATAAGCAATATTATATATTGAAAGATTAAGCATAATTTACTGACTTTTTCCAGTTAAGTTTTGACTTATAATCGTCGGTCAATATGACAACTGAATTCTTAAAATTTATTTTACAATTTTAATAAAAAAAGAGTAGTAAACGTGAAAACTCAGTATTAAAATAGCACAAAAAACACGAAAAAAGAGAGGAAAACAATATTAATAAAATCTGTATTTTTTATATTAAAATAGAGTTTACAATTATTGTATAATAAACAATTATGCTCAACATGATCAACATGGTAATATAACCAGTGTCATATTTTTACTAAGTGTGAACAGATACCTTAAGAGGGGGTCTTCGCTAAAAGCGATAACATAATAAGAGACAATTCCACAAGTGTGGTGTTGATCATGCGTTACACATATGGATTATAAATGATTGTATACATGTATATCCGTTGCTATTAATAACCACGATCATAAAGAAATAACAAGTAATATTCTAATCTCTAGCATGCCAATCAAAGTTTATAATGAACAATGTCTTTCGTCCGTTCATACTGGTAAAAAACAATTAACCATTGAAAAGTTTATAAGAATATCTTGTCATCATATGTCTACTAGTTCATCTTCACTTTCTGCATTTCTTGCTTGGACGCCCTTTGATGCTTTGCATCAATGCTTTTCTTGTAATGTATTTAAAACGACATACCTTAAGATTCATGCTAATTTTCATGAAAATTTTATAAATGTATTGAAAAGTTAAGTGTTACGAAGTGTACAAAAAAAATTTACACATTGCAAAAGCACTTGCAATCCACGTAAATTACCAAATAATCAGGTCAAAATAAGCAAAAAATAGCCCTTACAGCGTTATTAAAGCTGTAGAAATATGGTTATACATACAGCAAATTCAGTTCTTAATCGCACATAACATGAAGATTATAACTTGAAAATAAAGTCTGTTTACCTTTCTTAAAAAATCTTAGTACATTTTCCTAAGATTAATTTTCTTAAATTATTTTGGGTCCTCTGGAGGCATGCAGCTTTAAAATGACTCATTTGAAATAAACGAACTGTTAGTAAATTCATTTGTGAATCTACAAAATAAGCTTGAATGAAAAATATTGTAATTTGCTCTAGTTTTTTAAGGTTTTAACGTAATTACTAAAGAAATATTTGTCCATAAAATTTATAAACGGTAAATTTGTACATAAACTTATGATTGATTCTGAAATAAGATTTTTATCTAGCAATTTTTTGTTATTTAACACACATTGTGAATAAATGAAATGAAACGTTTACAAGTAATCAGTGTGCTGCTGTAACATGGGATTCAACCGGTTAGCATTGATTTCGTGCATGCTCCATTAATAATTGTGGAAATTTACAAGCATATCATTTTCAAAAAGTTTTTTATTTTATCAAAACTCAAACAATAAGTTTTTGAACTGATATATTGCAGTATATATATAAAATATTTTTCAATATTTGCATTTTTATTATGTTTAATATGCAAGTTTATTAAAGGTTTTCTTAACTAATAATACAATTAACATAGCATATAGCATAATGAAAAGTACGCTTTATCTTAATTAATCTGAACTGAGATCATAACAATATCAAGCCTAGTCTCAATATTTCCACTGAAAGACAGACCGATTTTATAATCTGATATTTCATAGATGTCTGTCTTTAGGGCGACCATCGTCTATATAAAAAACCCCTTAAGCGCACAATTTGTTGGGCTATATCAAGCCTATTAAATACTGAAAATGTGAAACTTAAAAGTTGTCCAACAAAACTTGGTTAAGTCTTGTTCTGCACAAACACAAATAAGTATTGACAAATTTTGAAACAGAAAACAAACTACAATATAGAAAACCCACAAAAACAACAAAATAATTCAGAAAAACAAACAAAACACCCCCCCCCCCCCAAAAAAAAAAACAAAAAAAACAACAACAAAAAAAAACAACAACAAAAACAAAAACCATCAATAAAAATCGCAGACTCGCTTTCATTGAGACCAATAATGCGTAAAACATTAAAAATTGCAAAATCGGTTGTATTGAGTTATTTAACGAGAAAACCCTAAGCTAGGAATCGCGATCGACTGAAAAGTTCTATCGATAGATGCATTTGTTTCAGCATTAAGATGCATTTTGTTAATAAGCAGTCTATCATCCATTCTTCAAGTCATTTTTACAATTTAAATAAAATAACTACCAAGTGAATAAGCTATTCGACAAAGCAAATCATCCACTTTTTAAGAGTACATTGTGTATATGTATTATATAACTTTTACATGTTTTCTCAATTATAAACTCATTCATAAAATATGTAATTGTTTTCGATATATTTATACATCGCTTTAGGAAGACAATTAACGATATAACTCATCATCAGGATGTACTTCCGAAGTTCAAGTACAAAATGATTTCACTTATTGTTCGTTTTTTTTTATAAATTCAGTCTTAAGTAAACAGGGGATAAAAATGTTTCTCGTTTTCTTGTTAATTTTCTTCATTGGAAATGGTATCCACCAAACGGGTAAGACATTTAAGATATAATTATTTGCCGTGTTGGTATCTGTTGACAGATATTTTTTGTACTGTACTTTATTTAAATGTTGTTATATTTTTCTCCTATCGGCAAATTTTGTTTTATGTCTCCAGGCAGATCTCATTTTGCTAGACCTTTAATGTCATTTTATATGATAATGGGTACGATAAATGCAGCTTATGCATCAAACGTAAGTATATATATTCTTCACACAGACAAGTTTATATATTTCTTCACACAGACGGACAATCGGATAATTTCTTCTCGTCTTGGAAAGAGCCTCCAATCAACTCTGGCATAGGTGAAGGCAATGCTACAGTTACTGTTCGTGAAAATAACCAAGTTGGTACCAGTACGGGGATAAAGCTGCAAGTTCTTGGCGGAACTGGAAAAATCAGTTACATTCTGAACCAATCTAACCCATTGTATTTTAGGATAGGTGGGGCTAATAAAGACGAAATAACAACTGCAATACCAAGCGATTTTGAAATGCTGGACAGAATAACAGTAACGGTGGTGTACGTATAATTTTGAGTCTTTACATCTAAAAAGTAAATGGTTTTTGTTGAAAAATATCAAAGAGGTATGATAGATGAATTTTGAAAACTTATTCATTCAACAGTAAAGCTGTATATTTTTTGTTTGTATGTTATACAGTAAAATCCGCTTATTACGAACTCATCGGGACATTCAAAATATGTTCCTTATTATATCCGGAGTTCCTTGAAAACATATAGCGAATTAGCACTTTGTATAAGGAGTATTTATAGCGAACAGATTTACATTTATATAACGAACCGATTGTTTACTATCTTCCGTCATTTTGAAGAGCAATTGATTAAGAAAGATTAGTCATTTATTTCTATTTATGACACAATAGCCGAGAGCGTACTTTCTGGAATTTGAAAACCCTTTGCTATTTCAGTTTTAGTTTTACTCCCTTTCTCAATTTCTCATAAAATATAATATTTTGTTTCTAACTCAGTGCTTTTCGTTTTCTCTCCATGATTAAAAATAAATAAGTTTTTCGATTGTTCTATTCTTTAATATTGAATATCTTCTATTATATTTTAAGGGTGAATTTTACTAATGAAAGATATAGATTTCTTTTCGTTTCAATCAAATATACTTTGCAGTTTTCAGTGGATTATGCTTGCAAGCATGCGTGATTATGTTTAAAACTGATTATAAATGATCATGATTATTTTACTCGAGCAAAATTATTAAAGAAAAGAAATAATACAATAAAAGGAATAACCGTTTTATTTTGATGACAAGAACTCGAGCTAAAAATATCCTAAATAGAAAATTATAACGTACTGCTGCGGAATCTATTTACGGATAGCCGGTATTTTGGAGTTTGTTATAAAAGTGTAAAATTCTGTACTTTTAACGAAATTGGGATTAAGAAATAAGTGCCTTATAAGCGATAATTCGTTATAACCATGTTCGCTATAACCGTATATTTTTATATTAAATAAAGAAGGGCAAAATTCGGGCAAAAATATATTGTTCCTTATGACCGAAAGTTCGCTATAACCGTGTTTGCTAAAAGTGAAGTTTACTGTGCTGATTTTCACCATGTGGACGTTTTTTCCCCAGAGCTTTCGACGAAGGTAATCCGCAGAAAACAGGAAGCGCTATCATGACGATTTTCATTGGTGACGTGAACGAACATGCCCCTACATTTCTACGGGAAGTGTACGAAGTCACAATATCCCCTTTGTTTGATATAGGTAATTTCTCTGTAACCGTAAATCTCATCTCATGACTTTTTAAAGATCCTGTATGTTTTGTGATTGATATTGTTACTGTGTGTATACTTTTTTGTGTGTGTTTGCGTTTGTTTACCCTCGCCACCGGAAAGAGACCATATGGGCGAGCAGTGTGTGTATACTTTTTTTTTTTGAAAAATATGTAAAATGTGTACTGCAAATATTTTTAGCACATTATATTTAATCAATAAATTATATGCATTCATTTCTTATTGGAAAATTGACTTAGAATTTAAAGAAAATACATTTCTAATTACCTCCCTTTATTTACATGAAATGTTAAATTCGGTAATATCTTTATAAATAATGCTTATTGGAACAAACAATATTGACAAATCTTAATTTGAGCATCATATTTATCAAATAAAACCATGAAAAAAATGTGTTACAGGATCTTTAAACGAATGTGCGATAAATTTTACCGGTATTCATTCGTACGTTAAAGGATATTTCTATTGATGGCAAATCCTGATTATTTATATTGAATGAAAATGCATAAATGTACAACATGACATGAACAAAAATTGTTCAAGCACTTTTAGAAAAGTAAATTTTGAACAACGTGTTTAATTATAACATTATTCGTATGTGAAATTCAATTCATAGCCATTCTTACTGTTTCAACACTTAAAGAAAACTTTGATAATTCATTTCATATGTGAAATTCAATTCATAGCCAATTTTACTGTTTCAAAACTTAAAGAAAAGCTCGATAGCTCATTTGGTATGTCTAAATCAATTCATAGCAAATCTTGTATTCACTTATCGTTCTGCCTCTCTCTGTTTGGAGGTATAGCATTCGCCAGGCTTCATGCAGCAGATGGAGATGGTTCTTCTCCAAACAACAATGTGGTATATTCAATTGAAGGTAATACAAACAACAGAGAGTTCACTCAATTCTAACTGTAATGTTTTCCCGCAAAATAAAATCTAACATCGGCCAATGTCGTAATAAATCGGTCTTTTCCGGAAGGTTATATTTCACGATCTTAAGTATTCAACAATTTTTATTCGTTCATAAACGGAATTTAATACATAGCTATAAAGGATGAGTGATTGTAAATAATCTAATGCCAAGATTTTGAAAAAAATACGTTCCGGAAATAACCATTTTGCTACGATATCGGACGATGTTAGAATTTTTTTGTCGGGAAAGCATTACAGGAAGACTATCTTAATAATATGAGTCAAGAAACTAAACAATAATGTATTGGAAAACAGATATTCAGCTTTTTTTCGTTTATAAACATTATAAATATTAAATCGTCATAACGTTTACGGAAACGAAATGTCTCAAATTGACGAAAACCTTGTTAAGAGAAATGAATCAGTCCATTGTCCGATACGAAAGACAAGGAAATTTATATTGTATATAAAAATCAATAATTAAAACAATTGTTCGTTAAATGATATACATTTAAAAATTCGTGATGTTTTTTGATTGTTTAGTCTTTGTGACATAGTCTATAAATATCTTAGTGTAGCATTTATGATGATTCTTGCGTTTTAAAATACAATTATGATCGTTCTCAAACGAAAACAACAACAGCAACAATATTTACAATAATAATTACAAAAATATTCAAAATAAAAGGGAAAGTCAAAAACAAACAAATATCAAATATTAAACATAGGGCTAAACATTTATTGTAATGTAAAATCATCCTTAACTTACTTTCTTGGTAGGCGGAAACACAAACGATGCTTTTATGATCGACTCAAAAACTGGTAACATTGCAATGGCGAAGCAACTATATGGATACGATATCACCCCACAGTATGAACTAATCATTCTTGGCGTAGACGGAGGTACCGACCCTTCGCCGCTGACAGGAACAACCACAATGCTTGTAAAAATCGTCGATGGTAAGATGATCAATATAGTTAAACATACTAGTATTCTATCATTCATACTACGACGGTAAGATTATTAATATAATTTAAGTTATTCAATCATTAATACTACGACGGTAAGATTATCAATATAAATAAAGGCACTCTAAAGCAATTTTATATTGTTTATATAATAATATTGTATATAATAAATTTGATGCTTAAATGAAGATTTATCAATATTGTAAGCTTCAAAAAGCATTATTTCTAAAGATATTACCGAATTTAACATTTCATGTAAATAAAAGGAAGGATAATTAAATGCATATATAAAACTTCGCATATCTGTATGGTGCATCCTTAATTACAACGTACAGGTTCTTTAAACATGCACAATCAAGACAGAACAAGAAATGCATTAGAACAGACATGATCTTTAAATATGAGCTACATTTCAAAGACAATTTTATAAAATATTTATTTGCATTTCAAATATATTTGATGTTGTAAAAAACCTAAATTTGAGGTTGTACGTAATGCATAGGGTAAGTAACATATAAAATATTCTAAGAACAAAAATTAGGCAAAATTTAATTGGGGTTTGCTCATAAATTTACAAAATGTTATCATTCGTTTTAAGTCGAAACGTTTTCGTCATGGAAAGAGCCACCAGTTAACAGCGGTATAGGGTCTGGTACTGCTTCAGTGAAAGTAAAAGAAAATTCAGAAAAGGGAACCAATACAAATATCAAATTACGAGCCCTTGATGGCTGGCAACGGAACATCATCTACAAGATCAAGAGTGATCATCAAACGTTTTCGATAGGAGGACCAAACGGTAATGCGCTTATTGTAGAGGAACCAATAGATTTTGAAGTCGTTTCCAACATTTCTATTAAAGTTTGAGTAAGTCACTTAATGTTATTAAATTTATGTGAAGTACAAAAGTATTATAGTAAACGTAAGCATAATAATATAATGTCTATAATTTATTTAAAAACTCTTCGGTATTTTAAGTAAAGAATGTTAACAATATGAATGTCGATATTATTTATAATTGTAAGGTAAATAATGAAAACTCATATACAGATATTCAGTAATATGTACACCGGTTCACCGGTATTTTTGTCTTGCCATATGTGACGCGCTAAAGCGATTTTAACCCAATTGAGTTTCTTATCAAGTGCTGAGCATACTATCATTCTTCGAGGCGTGCAAAATTTAATCCCATTTACTTTTAATTCATAGAGCTAAAGACAGTAGTATCAATCCAAAAAATGGAAGAGTCAATATGACAATTTTGATTGAGGATATCAACGATAATACACCCGTCTTCGAAAAATCTAATTACAAAGCGGTCGTTTCCGAATCCAGCCCAATAGGTGAGTTAAATTCTTTATTGACAGTATTTTGCACATTGGTACATAAACAAATCATTGATTAATGGATAGGTAACTTACAAAAGTAAATACATCAAAAAATCTACCTGTCAATATCTGTATACATTGAAGTTAAATCCATATGTGTGTATTTATTAGAGTATATATTCTAGAGGTGTATCCATGCATGTGTATGTGTTAGAATTATATCTATGTGTGTGTAAATTATAAGCGTTATATCAGTATATGTGTGTATTCTTGAGAGAATACTTTTTGCTTTATTTTTACAGGATTCACACTTGCAACTGTTAAAGCAACCGACAGCGATGGCACATTCCCGAACAATGAAGTTGTATATACATTTACTGGTAATAACTACCACTTTCGTATCATTTTTTCTACTGTAACAAGGGTTAAACCAAAGTGAAAGATTATAAAAAGTTATAAACAATTTTTGCCACGCCACTTTGATGAACCTTTGACAAACCAGTGAAACAGTTATCAGGAAATATGCCTTAAGTCCGTTCAAGACATAAATTGGACAATACTGTTGCTAATTTGTTGTACGATGTAGTTTCCTCTTGGTTAAAAACAAACTAAAATATCCAACTAACTAACGAGGTATTCGCGACCTTGTTTAACTTAATTGTTGAAATACGCATTCAATTTCATGATTGTGTAATCTAGGGTCATGAAAACAGAAAGAGTATGAATATTTCAGACAGTACATTCCTGGGAACACTAATACCTTTAACTTGATAAATGCAATCTTCAAATAGAATTGGCCTGATTTGCCCGACTTTTGTAGAAAGAAAAAAAAATTTCGATTACGTGTCAAATGTTTTTGGACATAACGAGCATTTTCATTTTACTATTACTTTTGTTGATGAAAACATTCTAACGAATTCACTATTGATTCATCAGCTGAAGTACTATCTCTGGCCAAATGCTTGAGGAACGTTTCCAATATATTATTGTTTGGTTTCTTGACTCATGGCATTAAGGAAGTCTTATTGTAATGCTTTCCAGCCAAATAAAATCTAATATCGACCATTAACGTAATAAATCCGTCATTTCCGGAAGGGTATTTTTCACGATCTTTCCGGTATTCAATAATATCTATTCGTTCATAACCGGAATTTAATATATAGAGATAAAGGATAAGTGATTGTAAATAATTTAATGTACATGATTTTGAAAAATATAACGTTCTGGAAATAACCGATTTGCTATTATATTGGCCGATGTTAGATTTTTATGGCGGGAAAACATAAAAGGAAGACTACCTTAATACCATGAGTCAAAAACTAAACAAAAATATATTTGAAACACGATATTTAGCTTTTTCTTCGGTTTATAAACATAATTAATATTAATTTGAGATAACGCTTATGAAAACGAAATGTATCAAATTAATAAAAACCATGTTTAGAGAAATGAACCAATTCAATGTCCGATACGAAAGACGTGGCAACTTGTATTGTATTTAAAATCAATATATATAACAACTGTTCGTGAATGATATACATTTAATGATTCATGTTGTTATTTGATTGTTTAGTCTTTGTGACACAGTCTATAAATATCTTAGTGTAACAATTATGATGATTATTGCGTTTTGATATACAATTATTATCGCGAGCGAAAACAAAAACAACAAAAACAACGACAATACTACTACTACTATTACTACTACTACTACTACTACCACTACCACTACCACCTACCACTGCCACTGCCACTGCCACTGCCACTACCACTACCACTACCACTACCACAGCCACTGCCACTGTCACTGCCACTGCCACTGCCACTACCACTACCACTACCACTACTACTACTACTACTACTACTACTACTACTACTACTACTACTACTACTACTACTACTACTACTACTACTACTACTACTACTACTACTACTACTACTACTACTACTACTACTACTACTACTACTACTACTACTTCTACTACAACCAGTACTACGACAACGGCTGCAGATGCGACTGTGACTGCTACTGTTACTGCTACTTTTACCGCTACCACTACCACTACCAATACTACTACTACTACTACTACTAGTACTACTACTACTACTACTACTTTTACTACTACTACTAGAACTACTAGTACTACTACTACTACTACTACTACTACTACTACTACTACTACTACCAGTACTACTATTACAACTTCTACTACTACTACTACTACTACTACTACTACTACTTCTACTTCCACTTCTACTACTACTACTACTACTACTACTACTACCACCACCACTACTACTACTACTACTACTACTACTACTACCACCACTACTACTACCACTACCACCACCCCCCTAACCACCACCACCACCACCACTACTTCCACTACTTCTACCACCAGTACTACTACTACCACCAGTTCTACTACTACCAGTACTACGACAACGGCTGCGACTGCGGCTACGACTGCTTCTGTAACTGCTACTTTTATCGCTACCGCTACCACTACCACCACTGCCACTACCACTGCTAATACTACTACCAGTACTACTACTACTACTACTACTACTACTACTACTACTACTACTACTACTACTACTACTACTACTTCTACCAATACTACTACTACTACCACTACTACTAATACTACGTCTAACAGTACTACTACTACCAGTACTACTACTACTACTACTACTACTACTACCACCACCACCACCACCACTACCACCACTACTACTACTATAACTACCAGTACTACTACTACTACTACCAGTACTACTTCTACCACCAATTCTAGTACCACGACAACGGCTGTGAGTGCGACTACGGCTGCGACTGCTACTGTTACTGCTACTTTTACCGCTACCGATACCACTACTACTACTACCAGTACTACTACTAGTACCAGTACTACTTCTACCACCAATTCTACTACTACCAGTACTACGACAACGGCTTGCGATTGCGTTTGCGGCTGCGACTGCTACTTTTACCGCTACCGCTACCACCACTACTACTACTACCAGTACTACTACTAGTACCAGTACTACTTCTACCACCAATTCTACTACTACCAGTACTACGACAACGGCTTGCGATTGCGTCAGCGGCTGCGACTGTTACTGTTACTGCTACTTTTACCGCTACCGCTACCACTACTACTACAGATTAAAATAATAATAATAATAATGATATTAAAAATAATAGTAATAATAACGATAATGATTATTTAAAAAATAACGATGACAAAAAATATTAAAAAATGGGAAATTAAAACCAAAACAAACAAATAAAAAATATAAAACATAGCTTAACATTTATTGTAGTGTAAATTCATCCTTAACTTACTTTCTTGGTAGGCGGAAACACAAACGATGCTTTTAGAATCGACTCAACAACTGGTAACATTGCAATAGCGAAGCAACTTGATGGATACAATATCACCCCACAGTATGAACTGATCATTCTTGGCGTAGACGGAGGTACCGACCCTTCTCCGCTGACAGGAACAACCACAATGCTTGTAAAAATCTTCGACGGTAAGATTATCAATATAATTAATCATACTAGTATTCTATCATTCATACTCCGACGGTAAGAATATCAATATAATTAAACAAACTAGTATTCTATCATTCATACTCCGACGGTAAGATTATCAATATAATTAAACATACAAGTATTCTATCATTCATACTCCGACGCTCAGATTATCAATATAATTAAAAAAACAAGTATTCTATCATTCATACTCCGACGCTCAGATATTCAATATAATTAAACATACTAGTATTCTATCATTCATACTCCGACTGTAAGATTATCAATATAATTAAACATACTAGTATTCTATCATTCAAACTCCGACGGTAAGATTATCAATATAATTAAACATACTAGTATTCTATCATTCATACTCCGACGGTAAGATTATCAATATAATTAAACATACTAGTATTCTATCATTCATACTCCGACGGTAAGATTATCAATATAATTAAACATACTAGTATTCTATCATTCATACTCCGACGCTAAGATTATCAATATAATTAAACATACCAGTATTTTATCATTCGTATTCCGACTGTAAGATTATCAATATAATTAAACATACTAGTATTCTATCATTCATACTCCGACGGTAAGATTATCAATATAATTAAACATACAAGTATTCTATCATTCATACTCCGACGCTAAAATTATCAATATAATTAAACATACTAGTATTCTATCATTCATACTCCGACGCTAAGATTATCAATATAATTAAACAAACTAGTATTCTATCATTCATACTCCGACGCTTAGATTATCAATATAATTTAACATACTTTTATTCTATCATTCATACTCTGACGCTAAGATTATCAATATAAATAAACATACTAGAATTCTATCATTCATACTCCGACGCTAAGATTATCAATATAATTAATCATACTAGTATTCTATCATTCATACTCCGACGGTAAGAATATCAATATAATTAAACAAACTAGTATTCTATCATTCATACTCCGACGGTAAAATTATCAATATAATTAAACATACAAGTATTATATCATTCATACTCCGACGCTCAGATTATCAATATAATTAAAAAAACAAGTATTCTATCATTCATACTCCGACGGTAAGATTGTCAATATAATTAAACATACTAGTATTCTATCATTCATACTCCGACGCTAAGATTATCAATATAATTAAACATACTAGTATTCTATCATTCATACTCCGACGGTAAGATTATCAATATAATTAAACATACTAGTATTCTATCATTCATATTCCAACGGTAAGATTATCAATATAATTAAACATACTAGTATTCTATCATTCATACTCCGACGCTAAGATTATCAATATAAATAAACATACCAGTATTCTATCATTCATACTCCGACTGTAAGATTATCAATATAATTAAACATACTAGTATTCTATCATTCATACTCCGACGGTAAGATTATCAATATAATTAAACATACTAGTATTCTATCATTCATACTCGGACGGTAAGATTATCAATATAATTAAACATACTAGTATTCTATCATTCATACTCCGACGCTTAGATTATCAATATAATTAAACATACTAGTATTCTATCATTCATACTCCGACGCTAAGATTATCAATATAATTAATCATACTAAATGTGTTCCAGTATAAAAAAAGGAAATTCTAGATGTCCTTTTTCCGGGGGTCTACCTTAAGGCACTTTTTCAGCAACAAATTTACACGCAGAATGAGAGATAGAGTGTTGGCAGACTTAGGAGAATAATTCTCCTATCTTTTAAACCTCAAACGCATTGTACCTGTCCGTTTGCAGATGATATCCCTTTATCTTTTTTTCGAAGGATAATGTTGGAAATCGTTGTTCGGAGTTATTTGATGAACACATATACGTATACATAGAAGAACGTATTTCTTATACTTTTAAAAGGATAAGTAAATAAATACTGTCATTAATGCAGTTCATTCTCCGTAATTAGTATAGTGCGGGCATATGGACTAATACTGTTCAATTAAATGAATATACATGATACATTTTTCATCGCATTCCTCATACGTTAGTATGATCTTTGCCTTTGATTGTTATTTATTGAGATGAAAATGTTGCATGATATATGGTTTACCCCTGTTTTATTGAAGAGGATATGATCAACGACAAAATGGAGAGTAATAATATAACTCAAACATTTGTTTTATTTTTGTGACAATTCGTTACTTTATTTAACATTTTCCATCATACATCATATTGTTACAATGAAAATATGTAGTCAGTAAACAACAAAAGTAAGAAGAAAATAGTTAAAAGCTATCTAAAACTGATATTGATATTATATTTTTTTAAGCTAGTAGTTATATATTATTGTCAATCAGCTATCTATCCATTTACCTAAAGTTTAATCATTATAAACATCAATTATCACCTTTTTTAGAAAAAAAATATTAGCGCAAAAATATAATATCTATTTAGATAAATAAAATAATAATGATAACAAAAAATAAACAAACAATAATAATAATAATGATGATATTAAAATGAGAAAAAATCAGTCAGTTATTTTTAGTATAATGGTATAATGTTATACTATTATTCTCATTTTACTACAGTAACTATGCTTAGAAGTCTTAAAATAAATATCAGAAAACATATTGCGCTCTAACAATATAATTGTTATATTTACCGGGATGTGTTTCCAAATTACCCATTTATACAGTATGGGCATCGAAAAATTATTTGAAGTGACAAATATCTGAACGATAAGCTCCTTTTCTTTCTAATTTTTAACAAAATGAACAGGTAATTTACTCGTAAAATACATGTAAAGCAGTTAATAAAGAATTAAATGATAGGAAGATTTTTACTTTTTTTAATTATTCATAAATAAACAAATATATAATAAAGGGATGAATAAATAAGTAAATATAAGTAAATACATAAATAACAATATGAATACTAGTAAATAAATAAATGAATAAATATAAATGCATGAATAAATTAATAATAAATAAATAAATAAATAAATAAATAAAATGAATTAATAAAGATAAAATAAGATAAATTATGTTAGTGATGTAATATAAAGTGAATTGAAATGTGATAAAAACATCAAATGGTTTAAATGTAATAAAAATGCGGTATATCATTATCAATAATATATGAGATGGTGTGATTTTTGTGTCATGAAAATCTATTGTTTTAATGATGAGTAAATATCATAATTATATTACCCGGTTCAGAAAGAAGACAGATCTCACTCAACCAACGTTTTATTTCAAACGATTTTATGGTAATATGACACATCTTCAACTGTTAATAATTTTGAAATAATATTCAAGATTATGCAGACATTTAACAGATAACTGTATGTTCCAAAAGTGATTTTTAATTCAATGTTCTAAAATATCTTTACTCAAAGAGGTTGCTAAACTTATAAGCTTTCATTCTAGGCTAATCGTACAATCTCTTTAGTTGTAAAATAATGTCCATTTTACTTACAGTCGATTTCACATTAATCATTTTCGCTAGAAGTCAATAAATACACTGTCCTAAGAAATGCTAGCGCTAATAGTCCATTCATTACGCATTACGCTGAAATAATGAAAGTTAAACGTTAAGTTGATTTATTACACAAATTGTGAGAAGTTCTACACTATCTTCTGGTATTTCATTAAAAAGAATAAATGCGTTTTAAAAATGATATAATAAGATATACATTTCTAACTTTATGATAACTATTATGTAACACAAGTTAAAATTAAATAAAAAAACGGATACATAACTGAAAATGAAACTAAACTATAATTTTATCTAACAACAAAAGTATCTTTAAAATGCTCGGCCGTTTTAAACCAGGTTGCTTTGATTATATATACAATTTTAGTCCTAGATATATTCAAACGTATGTTCAATGATATGTTTTCATAGATCATTTTTCATGTTGTCTGTGTGTTTTTCTGTGTTTAATTATTTTTTTCAAAGAAAAAAAGAAATCATTTAACTTGCAATAAATTTTATGCATAGCATAGAAAGAGAGTAAAGTTTCATTTTTTTCATAAAATTGCATGCATTGTTACTGAAACAAACACAAAAAAGACAAAGTTGGTATTACTGAACATTCATCGAATGTAATAGAAATAACAAATAAATTATTTATGGAGAATTCTGATCTCATATCTAATTTCCTAAATGATATCGAAAATCAGAAACAAAAACAAAAATCAATTTGAACATTGACACATATCAAACATATAAAGAAAAGATATTTATGAAAGAAAGATATTGGATTTTAAAAGCTAGTATCAAAATTGTAAAAAGGTTGAAGGCACACTTTGTCCCAAAATATATCACAAAATTGCTCTATATGGACAATGAGTGAGTACTATTTTTTATGAAATGGTAACAAGATACCAAACGTAAATAAAACTAACAACACAACATTTTGAGGCATGACGTGCCTTTAAGTATTTAATACCAAAGATTATGAACAAACAGAAGTTTATGGCACAATATGTCTCAGAAATTCATACTTAACAAATATTGTAATATTGCGCAATATTATATTACACAAAACTCAAAGCACTGATAAGACATATTTATACATTTCCCGGAATTATATTTTAGCAAAATCAAATAATAAGTTTAATTCTTTGAAAAAAAATCTGTAGTTGAAACATGATGAATTGAGAATATCAAAATCACTTAAGCAACTTCAATGATTATGCCAGATGTCCTCATTGCACTTTCAAAAAGTGTTCGCGTTTGTTCCGATGCATCACTTGTTTTTTATCCGTATTTCATGGTTACTCCTTATTTGACGCCTTTTTATGTTAATATCCAGTATCATCTTATTGATTAGTTTAATGTCAAACCACTTTAGAAATTTTCTTTCTTCTTAAATCTGACAAATAAAATGAACAATTTCATTGCATTTTTCCTCATCTTATTCTTTGCTTACTTTAATATAATAATATAAGTCATACATTTATTCAAAAGTTTTAAACGATCAAATTGCTTGAC